ACCATTTTAAAATGTTTGCCTCAAGTTAAAATCGCGAAAATTGATCATCGCGAAAAACTCAGCAAACACAAAATCACGAATATTTTTAGCAGCGAAATTATTACGGTTTACAGTAGTTTTTGGTGCAGCACAAATTCTGCATACAGCAAGCAGGTTCTCTACATGGATATCCATAGTACATGTATAACATCTACAGAAAAAAAATCATCAAAATTAATTGATTAGATGTATAAATACAAAATAGTACAAAGTGAGCCACTATTAGTAGTTAAAAAATAACAATCACATAGTGAAATACATATGTATCGCTATACTAGAAAATAATGGGGTCCTCGCTAAATCAAATTCATAAAAAGTGTAAGTTTCCAGTGTATGCTGACACTTTCACATGCTTCTTAATGGCGATAAACAGATATCATAAACTAACATCTGGCAGAAACATAGCGATACCATGTTTCAACATTTATAATACATACACTATCGGAAAGAACACATTCAGAGTTTCATTTTCAGGTAAAAATATTCACTAGGAGATTTCATCTTCAAATAGCAAGAACGGGTTGCAATTGTGAAGGTTTTGGGTCGTCAAAATGCGAAAACTTTCATAACTTACCAAAGAATCGTTCGATTTCCAAGCTTCCGGTACCAATTTTTAGAGCTCGATGTCCTGTATTGAAAACAACCAACTGTGCTGGCGTGCTGACCTCTAGCATTGACTGCGCAAGGTTTGAGAGTGACAGCTGAGCATGGAAGGGTCGGTGGGCATGTCCAACGATGGACATCGCCGGCGATGAACGCCTTGTTCAATGGCAGAACGTAGACAATAGGAAAACAAAAGACGTTCACAGGATTAACTTTCTCCATTTTTATTACCTCCATGGTACGACTGACCTCGAAACGTTCAATCGAGCCGGAAAACATCATGGTGGAAATTGCTTTGCATCAACAGTTTGCATATGATCGAAAACATCCCACAACGAAAATAATAATAATTGCTCAC